CGCCCCCCCCCGCGGGGATCCCCGGCGGGAAACACGCGCGCGGCCGCGGACACGGACACAGCCGGACAGACACGGCCTCCCTCTCGCCCCCCCCTTCCGCCTTCCTCTTCCTCCTCCCCTCCTCTCTCCCTGCCTCTTCCTTCCTTTCCCGTCTTCCTTCTGTCTTTTACCGTCTCTCCTGTCTCTTTCTCTTCCTTCTGATCTCTGCAGTCCGGCTCCCACTGCTGTTTCCTCCCCAGGCCCTCCTTGCAGGACGCGGGACCCGCTGCCTGTCCTCCTGCTGACCCCAGGATGGTGGCGGTGGCTCTGCTGCCCTTTTTTTTTTTTTTTTTCCTTTTCAATTCACAGCTGTGCTCAAGGGGTTTTCCAGAGCTTTCAGGTCATTTCTTGTCTCTGTTGCCGACAGGAAATTACCTAAAATCCAGTGTTCACCTGAACCTCCCGGGGCAGTGCCTGAGAAGGAGCGAGGGGCCAGTGCTGCAGGTCAGACTGGACCCATAAAGAAAAATCTGCAGGTTTGAGACGTCGGTGGAGGACACAGACTGACCGTGCATGCCAAAGTGTCCTGTCAGTAGTGCCAGGACTAGACGTCACTTATGGATGGCCTTCTGTGTGGTAAAAATGCAGCGAAAGATACAGACTGTGTTGTCCCCTGCGTTTCTGATGCTTAAAAAGGTTGGTACTTGAAGCCCGGGTTTCCTGGGGCTATCAGGTACGGTGCAACAGGGCAACAGTTACTCATGTCAGTATTGTTGCTTTGCTATAGTCAACATTCACAGGAGTAATTCTGTTCTTCTGTTTTTCCCTTCCAGGGCAAATGAGTCTCTCTCTTCACAGAAAACGTGTGTTTTTCAAGAGTTGTGTCACACAGATGAAGCTGTTGGCGGTGAGGAGCGGGCAGCCGAGCTGAGCGAGCATTTGCTAAGGCACCTCGGGTGTCCCAGCAGCCGCCCTGCACCGTCCCACGCTGGTTAGGGAACCGGCAGCAGCAGCACCGTGCACACAGACACGGCACTTTCCTTTCTAGAGGCAGGTTCCTTTCCTGCCTCCTTTCCTTGTTAGCTTTGAACGTTCTGCTAAAATGCCTATAGTTAGATCACTTAGACCATAATATAGACAAAAGTTCTGCAAGAAAAAAAAAAAAAAAAAAAACATAACAACTCTGCCCTCTTCACCTGAGGACTAGGAAAGGTAAATTTGAGATACAAGTCTCCCCATTGCCCAAATTCTTAGACTCGCCAATTCTTAGAAATTAGAAATTCTTAAAAACAAAATAAAAAGTCAGATTAAAAAGTATATTCAATGTTTATTTTAATAAACATAATGATTAAATTAAGTAATTAAATAATACAGTAATAAAGTGCTCTTATTTTCTAATTCACAATTACACTTTTTTCATAAGAAAAAACATTTTTTGCTTATTTATTTGGATAAACACACTCATTATTCTGATAAAAATATAAATATGTGTGTGTGTATATATAATAAATATATATACCCAAACAGGTGCAACTCTGTGATTTAACTTTTAAATATTTGGATTTTAAATTGCATTCATTATTTCCTTCTAATTCCAGATTAATAGAGTAACCGCAGGGATCATGAAAAATACAGTAGCAATAATTCCTGTAAAACCTGCCTGAATGCTTTTCCTGAAATGGCAATGAGCTTGCTATTAAATTTTTGATACACATTTAAATGAAGTCTCTGAAAAAGTTTCTGAGAGTTGAGATTTTTCTTTAATGAGGAACTCTTGTTTGGTTAGAATCACAGAGTCATTCAAGCTAGAAGGAACCTCTRTAGGTCTCTAGTCCAACCTCCTGCTCAAAGCATGGTCGATCAGACCAGGTTGCTCAGGGCTCTTTCCAGGTGGGTCTTGAAAACCTGCAATGATGGAGGCAACCTGTTTCAGTGCCTTTTAATCTTTTTTTTAACTCCCCAACAGGATTTAGACCTAGCTGTGATTCAATTTAGGACCACACTCACTCAGCAGTTCAGTACAAAGCCCAGTACCACTTTATAGACAATCTCCTTGCAGGTACTGGAAGGCTGCTACGAGGCTTCCCTTTTCCAGGCTACACAAGCTGGACTGTCTTGGTGGCCCTCCCCTAAACTTGAAATTTATCACATTTTTTCTTGTGTTGGGAGCATGAAAGCTATTCCACCTGAGGTTTGTTGAATGTAGTATGAAAGAGACTTCCCCAAGTCTACACTTCTGTAGATACACTGCGRGATGCTGTTAGTCTTCATCTCTACTGGGGCTTGCTGTTGGCTCATGTTTGGCCTGTTGGCCACCTGAATGTCCAGGTCTTTCTCAGACCTGGAGCTGTTCCCTAGCCCACTAGTCTCTGTCCTGGACCAATGCAGGGCATTGGCCTGCAAGCACAGAACTTGCTGAGTTTCAATGACATTTRTGTTGACCCATTTGTGGCCTGTCTGTATTCCTCTGAATGGCAGCCATGCCCTGGAGTGTATTGATGATGCAGCTTGATTTGATGTTGTCTACAAGCTGGGCCAGAGTGCGCTCCATCTTCTCCTGCAGGAGATGATACTAAACAGGACAGGTCTCAAGATAAGACTTTTGAGGAACTCCACTTGTAACCAGCTTCCAGATGGAGTATGAACCATTAATCACAATGATCCAGCCAATTCTTTCAGTGATCTAATTGTCTGTGCATCTGGACTGTAATGTCACCCATCTAACTTGGCTACAAGGATGCTGTGGGAGACCATGTGGGAAGGCTGCTATGCTCTGTTCTCCCCACATCCATAGATTTAAGCAGGCAATCAGGCTGTGTTGGTATGATTTACCAAGGGTAAATCCCTTTGGGGACTTACCCTTGAGTAATCCAAGGGACTTGCTTTGCTATTTTGTCAGGAACTAAAGTGAAGCTCACCAGGCTGTAGCAACTTGGATTGGCCTTCATGCTGTTCTTGGAGATAGGTTTTCTGCATTTCAACATTGACTTTCTGCAGTCAGGGAGGACCTCCCCCAKTCTCCATGACCTTTCAAAGATGATAAAAATGGGACTTACAAATGACATCAGYCAGCTCACTGAACACCCCAACCCCAGATGCACCCCACCTGGTGCCAAGGAGTTGTGTTAGCTGGGATTCCTTAGAAKATGCCTAACTCAGTGCTCTCCTACAACTGGCAAATCCTCTTCTCCTTGAAGCAGAAAAGCCTGGGAGAACCTGTCAGTGAAGATGAAGTCAAAGGAGGCAACAAAGACCTCAGCCTTTTCAGTATCCATTGTCACTAAGTCACCTGCTCCTTATGGCAGAGGTCTCACATCTTCCTTTTTTATTCTTTTACTGATAATAGAGGGATTAAAGCTCTTGTTGCCCTTGACATCCTTTACCCATTTCAGTAACAGTTGGACCTTGGCTTTTCACACACCATTCCCTGCCAAGGGAATACTTCCATGTTCCTAATTTTCTTTTTGGTACTGAAAATATTTCTGAGTAACACTGATGACTAGATAGCCATAATTATCAACTGCACTTGTTCCTTAAAATATTTCTGATTTAGCAGTGTCCTATTGATTGGTATGGCTATTATGCAACTTAAAAAAAAAAAATGAAAAAAAGAGTCCTTGAAAAGCTGAGATCTTTCATATTCCAATAAATCAGCTAACTGTTACATAAAGTTAGTGACAGGTAGTAAGAACAGGGAATAGAAATCCTTACTTTCATTGTAAAAAAATATGGGAATGCAAACTATGTCGGAAGAGCCCTTCCGAGTGCAGCAGMCAGCACTCTGCATTGTCTATTGTGCTAATCACAATGCTTTGAAGGGCTATAAAACTTCTTGCCTGCTATCGCAACCTTATGGGCAGCTCTCACAAAGCAGCTTTGCTGGTGATGGCTTCAGAAGAGAAGGGCAACAGCCCCAAACACCACCACAGTGCTGTCTCACTTTCTCTGTGTGTGTATCTGCAGCTACACAGCTGAGAGCTTTTGTCTGGAAGCTAGGGCTAAGGTTTGGGGACTGGGACAGTCTTTCTCTTCTGTGTTTGTCCCGTGCCCAGACCCCTGCAGCCTGGGTGCACGGGTGCTGGTGCCAGTTTTCTCCTGCAGACTGTTAATTAAACGGCAACCTAGACAGATAATCAGAAATGTCTATGTTGCTGTTGCATCAGAAAGAAAGAGAAAGCAGCAAAGATGGAGAGTAAAAGCTGTCTATGTTGGGCTTTTAAGGTGTTCTTGGCAAAGCAGCATATACAGGCTTTACTCACTGACCCTATCAGCTGTGATTCCCTAGGTCTCTGTCTCATGAAAACTTTCCTCAGATGTTTTCTGTGAGGCCTCCCATGGTGGAAATCAACCGAGTAATAAGATCTGGAGTGAGATCASGACAGCTGGCATCCCCCTCATTTGTAATAGTCACTACCTGTAAGCTGACATCTGCTCATATCTTTGTGCTTTCCTGATGGTTTCTGTCTCCTTCCACGGGTYGTAAGGGCTGTGTAAGGATCTGAGCCTCCGCTTGCAGGTTCAAATGCTGGCTGTGCCCAAGAGTATCAGCTCTTCCAAGCAGCAAGCAATGCACCTTATGGAGAACGTCAGGAAACGTTCCCAGCGGATTTGGGAGGCAGGCTGGACTGCCCTCTCTGCCCCTCAGGTAACTGCAGCTCTCAGTATCTCTCTCTGCATTATTTTCTCTTGTCTTTCTGCTGACATGTTTGTAGAGGATAAAAGCTAATACTTGGAGCCAGAGTAGCACAGAGTTGTGTTGTGGATGTGTTCCTCTCGTCCAGGCTGCTAGAATGGGCACAGAAGTCTCCAAACAAACTCAGATAATTGCTTTAGGCCTTCTCTTTAGTTTCAAGCAGGAGACCTTACTGGAGGCATTAATGAGAAGGCAACATGAAGCTTTAAATAGAAACAGCTGCAACCTTAACTGAGCAGGAACTAGCAGCTTGGAATTGAGCAATGGAACAGTTTATTAAAACAAGTGGGAAAGACTCCTTTGCGGACATTAAAAAATTGAGGGGAAAAAAACAAAACAAAAAGCATTTGGAAACATGACATAAAGCCCGAGGAGCTGCCTTTGAAGGTGGCTGCACTAACATGCGGCTTCTGTTTACAAACTTCCAGAGCTCGAAGGGAAGAGGAGTCTGCTCCCTCTATGGACCAAAGCAGGGAAGTGCCGCCCTGGAGCACYCACCTGCGCGGCCCCAGATGCAAGGGAGGACACCGCGGCTCCAGGTGTGTGGCAGGGAGCGGGAAGGGGCTGTAAGGGACAAATAACTCTGCGGTTGTGCTTCACTGATTCCTTTTCTTTTTTTTTTTTATCTTTCTTTTTTTTTCCCTCGAAGTAGTTAATCTTCTAAAATATTTAAAGAGTTTTTGATAACACTGTTGGGAAGACTGCGTAGGTCAAAATAAAGGCACTTAGTCTCCAGTCAGTCAGCACTCAAATGGTGATGTCGTCTGAGGCAGGGGAGGTTCCAGACTCGCACTGGAGCTCTTGGCTGGTCTTTCCTCAGGCCCCTTCCACTCCCTTCATAAATAATAAAAGTCTAAGTCTGGAAGCAAAACACGATTTGGATTTGTGTGTGTTGCTTTTCATCCCMAAAAATGTAATGGCTCTGATCCATGGAGGCAAAATGAGAGTACCTGACCTGAGCTCACTCATGAAGCTAGTGAAGGCTTAATAATAATAGCTGAAACACTAATTAAATGATAGTGTGGGGCCTCTAGAAAAGCCCTGCACGCATCAGCCTTGGATCATTTCCAGCAAGGAGAGGACTCCGTTCTCCCATCTGGGGCAGGAGTCAGGCCCTGTGGCCAAGGGCCAATTTCCCCCAATCCATGTGGGGAAGGCGCTGGCCAACTGGCTGCCAAATCCTGTGGGGCTGTTTGGGACTCTCCCGC